ATAACGTTCAAATGCGCACGTGCTAATGCGCTCGGTTGAACAAGAGTGACCACCAAAAGGGGTGAGATAGTTTACGGACAACGCAAGTTCATGCTGCTGACCCCACGGTTTATTCGGCACAATAAACACAAAAGTACGACTGCAATGAAACATAAACATAAATTTGAAATAAAAATATATTTATGAAACAAAATTAAAATGTTTTATGTACATATATAAACATGAAATCCTAGTTAAAAATAAAAATACTCATTTATTGTTTAGGTTTATTTATAAATATTATTTACGGGTCTGTATATTACTTGAAACCATAAGAAGTATACGTGATTATTACAAAAATTAAAAATAGATAAAGTTTGCATTTTATGGAGGATACAATTTTTTTTGGGATTTCAAAATAATGTACTAAAACATTAAAAGTAATAAGTTCAAATCTGTAGCAAATATAAATATTGTAATCATTTCTTATAAATACCATTTCCTAATGTAATTTTCCAAGATATTAAAGATCATAATGCATAAAAACTAAATTTATTAAAAGTAATAGGTTTTATGTTTCTTAAACTACCCACATTTGTCAAAGTATTTATGAAGTTTCGAAAATATTCGTCCACTAGTTTTATTGTTGGAATGAAATATAGCAAGACTTGCATTGCCTACTAAGAAAGTTAGTAGCCAGTAGTCATCGGGTTAAGGGCAAAAAATTTAAAAAATAATACCCAGGTGCAAAGTTTTAATCTATCAAATGACGTATTATATTATGTTCATGGGTACCTGCAGGAAGGGGAAAGAGGTGGCAGTTGCCCCCTCCCTACATTTCATAAAAAATTGCATGTATTATGATGTAACCTTAACATCATAGTTAAACTAAATATTTTTAGTAACTGTTATTAAAACTGTAAATTTATGTTTAAGTTTAAGCACACATAACACATTATTTTAGAATCTTGACCTACACTATAAAAGCTGATCCCCTACATACATGGATTAGCTGGGAGTCTGTAAAAGATATACCAAGTTCTGAACCCTGTCTGTTGGTGCAGCCAAACGCATAATAGAGAAAAGACATTTTCAAGTGTTTTCATGGTCTTGGATATATGCATGCTGATGTCCAATAAAGTAGACACTAGGAGAAAACAGCAGCACATAATGCCATGATGTCATTCTTGAAAGGTCTATTAGTGCTCAGTCCATTCATATGGTTAATTAACGTGACTCCAACATGGCAGACAAGTCAAGGATTTTCTTGCAGATGTTGCAACAAGTTTTATGAAGTTCATATCACTAAAAATACATTTAACGATTTCATGCTCAACTGGTTTATAATATAAACAAAACACATAAATAAATGTGTAAGTTTACAGCTTTCAACAGTTCAGAAATACATATATACAGAACAGATGTACTGGTGGGAATGTAGTCTACTTATCACATGTGTATCAAAATTAAACAGTGGCCACTACTCATTAAATGACAAAGATGAAAATAAAAACATAAATGGCCACACCAATAAGAACAACTACAAGTAATAAAAATATATCAGTTTCTCCATGAATCATGTAATCCATGCTTGAAATTTAAAACATATAATGTTTAATTTCAAGCACTGTAAACATCTTGAAAATTACATCTTAAAGCTCAAGAACTTTCAAGATTTACAAGCACCTACACAAAACCCTGAGCATTCAATCTTTGTGTCCTTGATATGATGACCCCAAGATAAAGTGTCTATTTTTGTGACCTAGTTATGATGACTCCACAATATATTTTCCATCTTTGTAGCATCGGTGTGCTGAACCAACAATAACTTTTCCATCTCAGCAGCCTAGATAATATGATGGTCCAAGAATAAGTTTTCAGTCTTTGTGACCTATATGTAATGATCTCCAAAATCAACTATGAACTTTAATTATTTTGAAGTTATGACTTTGATGGTACGATATGCATTGGTTACACTGGTTTGATGACCCCCACAACCAATTACCAATCTTTTTAACTATGTGATAAATCCATAATCAGCTATGAAATATTGGTTAAATAGGACCTCACAATGAGCTATAAACATTGAGAACCATGATAAGATGACTCCATAATTAGCTTTGAATCTTGGCATCTTGATCACACACACACATATATAATTTTATTTTTTGCTCTTGCTCCTGTAATATCTATGGTCATGTTTACTACTGGTGGCCTTCATTCAAAGTCCCCCAAAGGACAAAAGTACACTCTTATTAACTGGTTATTTACAAATTCAATGACAATAAACATTTTTGAAAAATCTATTAACATCAAATAACAACTTTATACTCACTGGTGTACAAGCTATGTTGGTTACAGATAACTACAAGCACTATTGCACATGACTAATGTGGATTATGATCACAGATGAACATCTAGATTTTCATAAATGGGTTAGCTTTATTTCTGAAAACAGAGTCATTTATTCATGTGTATCAAAACAATATAACTCACCTTCGAACTTGATTCTCTGGGAAGAAGAGTTTCAAAGATGCTTCTATTTCGACTGTGAGCATCTATATCAACATATATGACAGACCATGAAGCACCCTTGTCTCCAAACAGATTACAACCATTGATAGCTTCCAGAGCTGACTTAGCTGTGCCTATGGAACTGAAAATCCAAATACTTTATTATACTTCACTCTTTAAAAGCATACACTTTGTAAGAAGTGTTGGGCAATTCAATAAAAACACACTGGAACAAAGCTTCTCTTGTTGCTCAATGAAAATATCAAAAATAGAAAGATCCATACAGAATTTAGTTCCCTGCATATCAGAGCTAATTTTAACTCTTATCAAGCAATTTCCATGACTTACACATCAAATGTCCACCCAGAAAAATCAGGAAAGGTTTTATTTTCCAAAAACACTGGGAATATTTCAGAAAAGTTTTTTTTTCAGAGGTAATATACATGTAATAACTTTCTTTAAATTTAAGTGCATAAAATGTATAAACGTCAGATCTACAAATTGAAAAAAAAATATAATAGAAATAAAATAAAATTAGTTTGAACAATTTTCATCTATTAACATACTTCAATTTAACTATTACTTACACTGCTGAATGCTCTACTGATAAATAACAATATTTCTGTTTCAACCAAGATGGTACTTTTATGACAGGAAGCCATTTGTCAATTAAATAATATTGAAATATGTTACTTGTCTTGCTGGTTGTCCTAATCATAAACAACAGCATTTCTGTTCAAACCATGATGGTTTTTAGGATAAGATGCTATATGAAAAGTAAACTAATACTGAAAGTTGTTATTTGTATTTCTGGTTACCCTATGGAAAAACAACTTTTCTATTGTAAACAATAGTATTTATATTCCAATCAAAATAGCTTTTAGGTCATCTTCAAGAAGCCATTTCTCAAGCAAACTAATATTGAAAGATGTTAGTTGTATTGGTGGTTGCCATATTTATAAACAACAGTATTACTGTTCCAACCATGGTGACTTTTAGGATATGAAACTATTTATCAATTAAACTGATATAGAAAGATGTTACTTGTAGTGTTGTTTGCCCAAATAATAAACAACAGTATTTCTGTTCCCGACTTTCAGGAAAAGAAGCCATTTGTCAAATAAACTAATAAAGAAACCTGTTATTTGTATTGGTGATTCCCCAAATGATAAACATTTCATAACAAGAGGGTCTTTAGGTACCTTCAAGAAGCCATTTGTCAAATAAACTAATATTGAAAGCTGTTACTTGTATTATTGGTTGCCCCAATGATAAACAACAGGGTAACCAACAATACAGATAACAGCTTTTTATATTAGTTCACCTGTTAAATAGCTTCTTGTTCTAATAGCCATGGTTAGAACAGAAATACTGATTTTTGTTCCAATCAAGATGGATTTAATAACATAATTCATTTGTCAAGTAAACTAATATCAGGTTTCATACAGTTTTTCACATACAAATTTCAAGAAACACTTTAAGAATTTAAGGCCCTATTAAAACTATTATACTCCTTAACAAAATCCAAATTAAGCTCAACATTCATATAAAGATTTATTTAGTTATTTCAAATTAGATATTACACTAAACTATTCCATCACTTTACACTGACTCTTTTAGTTTCTTCAATATTTCATCAAGCTCCACCACCACAGATTTAAAATTTTCCTGCATTTGCTTGGTAGTTCTTCTCACACTGTTAGATTTTGAAATGAAACTGCCTTCTAGTTGCTTCAGCTTTTTTGCACTTTTCTCAGCTGATTTTAAGAGGACTTGGACATCTTCCATTCATTTCTTTTTTTGCCTTGATGTTTGCAATCTCCTGTATCAAAGACTTTTCTGGAGATTTTCTTCTGAGCCCTTTTTCTCTGTGAAACTCCTCCAGGTATGTCTGGTACTTCTGTCTAGCACGTGCTGCTGAAAGTAGTAGTTTTCTGGAGTAACTGATATTAAGCACACCTCCCACACTATGGACATGATCGTTAATGATACATTGTACTACTACTACTACTGCTCTACTATTGCTTGTACATGTGACAAGATAAGTACAACTTCAGAGTCTGCCAGAGATATCTGAACACAGCTTTGTTAACCAACCGGTCGTGGAAATATGTGTCCAATCTATTAATCCTGAATCTCAAGCTACTAAAGGAAGATGAATCTCCAAATAGCAAAACTTCAAAAAATTCCTAAATTCCTTCATATTTTCATCACAGCTGCTTCATGGGTTACAACCTGCCTAAAACAATAGCCACGGAACACAAGTCAGCTTTCTGTTGAATATTTTTTTTATTCATCATGAGGACCCTAGGATCAAGGAAGCTTAAGTTTCTTACCACAGCATATTGCAATGTGAATTTCTCTAGCAAACTGCTAAGTTAGAGACCATTTCCAGCAGAAACGATTTGCAGTTCCACTTCAATTTCAAATGCTGTTTGTATGATATTGGTTACTTTTCTTTGAGTTCCATCAGGCTTCTTCCTGTTACAAAGCCAACCTTCAGTTTGAACACATCCATATGGCTTGATGCATTTTGGATGTAAATTTGTAGAATTTTAAATAGAAATAGGACATTTTTTACTACTTCAGGTTCTTTGAACTTTTTCATCAATCAATCCCTTGATCAAAGATGTCATGTTACTGGAAAGAAATGGCAGTATTGGTTTGTCAGTGCAACTTCTGTAGCAATCACCAAGAAAAGTTTAGCTACATTAAAAAAAAACAATCTTTAATAACTGTCTGAGCACGCATAAATGATTCGTTCTTTCACTCTTAATTTGTTCAGATTTTGCTGCACTGACATACTGTTCAACATAAGTTCTTGTGCTACTAGCCCTGATAAGGCTGCAATGGCAAAATGTTGGTTGAAATAAAAGGTTTTTTATTTAATTTAGAAAGCAAATGTAATTTTAACCAACTGTATTGCCAAAATGTTCAACAAATGGTAAAATCTGAAGGATTTGTTTCAGTAGCCTAAACATTTGCAAGCTCTGTCTACAGAAATCCAGGGGAAAAGATGTGAAACCTGTCACAGTTATGAAGTCTTCACAGTGAGCTGGTGAATCTTTAAAGAACCACCACAGACTTAAAAAAGCATGATCAACTTCCCAATCTGTTGCTAAACATCTAGCTCTGAATGAATTGTGCAGAACATGTAAGCCACAGCTGCTCATAGTAAGCAAGTTCTTACTTGTTTGCTATTCAGCATTTTCTTTCAACGTTGAGTAAAGCTTCCAGTTAATGTTAAGTCCATCCATGTGAAGTTGCACAAGATTATTGAAACCAAAGTGTCCATACACTGTTTCAATTTCTCAAAATCTACTCAGATATGATGACTCATGAAGTAGGATGTCACATGTCTTGATTGGACACAATTCTCATTTCAGAATCTGATGGGCACACCTAGCTGACTACTTTGCATCTCACTGTTCAAACTCTCATCAAACATATGACTGTTGCTTGGCTTTGTTTTTAACAGAGACAAGAAGTGAGGTGCTATCCCAAATGTTGCTAGGTATGCCATTTTCCTTTCTCCACAAGTGAACTATTTAACTACAGCACTATCACTAAACATAAATTTAAAATTGTTGCTGATCCCTTTATATGACTTGTATGAATAGTAAATAGTGACAACTTTGGTTGCCCAGCCAATTTATGTAGTCAAAGCTGAATAAAACTAACATAATGCTTGATGATGATGTTGATGTAAGTTAAGGTGTAAGAGCTAAACTGTCAGAAGACATGGAAGTTACATTTGATGTGGTACTGAGAGTTTATGGTGACAGTAATAAGAAATCACAGATTTTTGGCCTTGCTTTTAGGTGCTGTTTCATGTTGTCCCGATAATTTTCCCTTAAAAAAGAAATGAATTAAACTTATTTATTTTATTTTTTATTGTAATAATAATACTAACAGTATGTGTGTGCATACACTATTTGGTTAGGACTTAAAATTGTTCTAGCCTACACTACCTACGTACTGAATCTAAGTTATACTTTCTTACTAGTTTATCTGTTCAAAGAGATATGAACATATTTTTTAAAGATTCTGACACAAATAGTTAGAGAGACCTTTGAAAACACCTAGGGCAAATCAGAAATGTTTATGTTTTATTTTTAATGTAACAACATCTATAAATAAACATTAACTTTATTTACAGAGAATAAGGCTGATACAACCAACAAAATTGAAGCATAAGAACTCCAATTTTGTAATCCAAAACAGACAATTTTAAAGTGAATTTTTTTCCCTGGGTGTAGATTTTGACCAGTGCATCAGATTGTAAAGAAATATCATGGGCCAGATGACCCTTCAGTTTAATAAATGAGAGGTGATTTTTTAAACCCATAGGTTACCATCAGGATCATAAAGTTAGTTATGTTAACTCTTCCAGCACAGGCTCAGTCCCTGGGACAGACCTCGTAACCAATTTGTGTTTGTTATAGTTTTCATGCTATAACTTGTAAATTAGTAAGTGAATGTTAACAAAATTCGGCAGATTATCAGTAAACATTATAATGCTTTCATACGCAAGATATAAATTTTTTTTATTAAGTCTTAAGGTTTGTAAAGCAATGTTTTCTCGCGTCTTTTTTCTTTTTGCATGTTGCCTATCAATCATGTAAAGC